TTTTTCTTTTTTCTTTTTTCTTTTTTTGACAGCTTGTTGGTGAAAAGGACACCCCGAAGTGTAGGATACCGGCCTGATTGTAAGTGACTCTTGTGTAAGCTGGAGTGTAATCCTAGAGGCCCGGGGATTAAGGGAAGGTCGCTGAGACCAGGAATCGGTGGGCTGAAACTAGTCAGCGAAGGGAGGCTCCGGTGACAAAAGGACGGAGCTGGCTCACAATAACAGCTTTTCTGTGCCTTGAAAAATCCAGTTGTTGGCTGTGTGTTTATAGGCAAAACTAAGCCAAAGCAGCTAAGAGTGTAAGCCAGAGCTCAGCCCCCTTCTGTTTAAAAGAGATTTACTCCCTAATGACCACGTTTAGGATTTCAGCTTAGCCACATTGGGGTCAAGCATGATTTTGCAGTGTGTGTGTGTGTGTATTGGCTCTTAATTTGGGGGGAGCTCTTCCAACTTCCCTCTCCTTTTACACCCGGTGGGACTTCAAGTGACATTAGGAAAATAGCCACCTGTTTAATTTACTGGCTTATGATAACAAACCCGGTTTTATTTTAATTTTTAAAAAAGGCCCGTGACGTTTTGCTCTTTTTAACGAGGAGCTCCGGTCAATGCCAAGTGGCGCCATCGTTGAGATTTACGAACACGGTTGTCCCCAGTTCTGCCTAAGTTTTAACCTGCTTTATTGTGGTTCTTTCCAGTCGTTGGTTTTGAAGTGCCGGACAAGTTTGTGGTTGGATATGCTCTAGATTATAACGAATACTTCAGAGATTTGAATGTAAGTGATCGACACAGGTGACCTGGTTAAAAAAGAAAAAAAAAGCACAGATTTTCACCCCTGCCTTTGCTCTGCTTCTCTTAGCGCCCGGAAGGGGTCAAAAGGAGGCAGCAGAAACGGATTTCTTTTCTTTTTTTGCCTTGGGGGAAACAAGGTTGGGAATGTCTGGAGTCCTGTGGCGACTCAGAGGGCCCCCAAGCTACCTTTCCCAGTTTGATTGTGGCTTCCCACAGTTTGGTACGGAGCAAACCGACCAAGATCGCCAAACACGAGGCGGCTTCTTGGCAAAGCAACGGTCAGAATTCAAGGACTCTGCAGGTAGCCCCAGACTTTAAAAGCCCAGTTTGGACGAGGGTTCCTTTTGCTAAAGAAAGAGGGGGCTAAGCAAGCGAGGCAGCCAAGCTTGCAGTTGTTAAGTGAAGCACACAGTCATTAAGTGAATCTGGCTCCCCCCCCCCCCCCCAGTGGCTTTGCTTGCCAGAACAGAAGCCATCTGGGAAGGTTGCGGTGGAGATCATGTGTCTCTGGCATGCGGCAACCATGCACCCCGCTGGTTGCCCAGTGCCCAAATTTTGACCGCATGACCCGTTGAGAACGCTACAAACTGTTGTAAGTGTGAGGACCGTCCCAGTGCCATTGTGGCTCCAAACATGAGATGGCTGCAGATGGAGGGCCACCCATCAAACCAGGAAGAGCACGGAGTTTATTTTGAGCCCGGCCGCCCTGTGACGTCCCTTGGGGTGGGGGTGAGGTGGGTATTTGCATCCCCCGCGCCCCAAAAGTTGGCTTTCGCGGGGAGAATCGGCAAAAGGCTCGTCTCCTCTCGCTCCTTATGAATTTTGGAAGCCTTTGACGCTCCTTGTCTTCCACCAGCACATCTGCGTGATCAGCGAGACCGGGAAGGAGAAGTACAAGGCGTGATCCCGGACGGTGTCTTCAGAAGCGCAGCGAGACCGTGAAGCTGACCTCTGGCGGCCCCCCCCCCCCTCTCTCTCTCTCCCTCTCTGCCTCTCGGCCCAAAACGGCAGCTTCGGATTGTGGAGTGGTTCCCCCTGCGCTTCTCTCGTCGTAGCCTCTTGCTTTATAACTTATTGCATGTACCGCATGGGAGAATCGTCTTGATCCTTTGCATCTGGGAAGTCAAAAAAGGAGATTTCCGCTTTCCCCCCCTTTTTTTTTTTAAATTTGCACTATGCGTCTCCTCCTCCTAGCCAGTCCCTCCTTTGAGAAAAACAGATCTCTCTCTCTCTCTTTCCTTCCTTCCTTCCTTCCTTCCTTTCTTTCTTCCTTCCTTTTTCCTTCCTTTTTCCTTCCTTTTTCTTTCTTTCTTTCTTTCTTTCTTTCTTTCTTTCTTTCTTTCTTT